CGGCCGACAGATGCGTAAGCATGCCGTCTCTTTATCTGTTAACCAAAGAAATTGTGTTTCTTGAAGGATGTGTGTAATGAGCGATAGGAATTTTTATCAGTTGCATGTGTTTAGGCGATTGGGTCGAGAACTAATCGAAGCTTTCTGTATACACAAAGCGGCCGACAGATGCGTAAGCATGCCGTCTCTTTATCTGTTAAGCAAAGAAATTGTGTTTCTTGAAGGATGTGTGTAATGAGCGATAGGAATTTTTATCAGCTGCATGTGTTTAGGCGATTGGGATCGAGTTTGACGATGATTCGTGTTTCAATAAATCAGTTGGAAGTTGGCGCCTGTCCGTGTCGTACGTCTCTTTTTTCGTCCTGTGTGTTCGCGCCTTTTAACCCTTTAATCATTACAGATATAATATCATTATGATCTGTCGACTAGCCGCTCCGCTACCTTCACGTAAACGTTGCAAGAAATAACAAATGTTGATTGAGGTCGATTTTCGCAAAACCCCCATTTTTGTAAATTTTTATTTTTAAATTCTTCTAGACATTTAGTCGACTACAAGAAAAAACAGTCTAGAAATGTAATATTTTGGTGTTACGTCCTCTATTTGAGCCGTAATCGCGTGAAATGTGTGAACATTTGTTATTTTTCACAACGTTTACGTGAAGGTAACGGAGCGGCCACTCGGCAGATAATAATTATATTACTATATCTATACTAGGCATGATTAGGGCTTGATATAGAGCTAAAGAAATAAAATGTACCTTAAGTACAGACAAAGTAATGATCTGTCAAAGTTGACGAAAAGTCCACCTGAGTGACAAGTTTGACATTTTGTTTAGAAAACAATCAAACTATTAGAGGTATTTGAACACGTGAAGGTATCTTTATAGTATTTATTAAACGAGGGGAAAAAGTTAAAAAGGTATAGGGAAAAGACTAGCGCCAGCAGGGGGTGTCAAACACGCGACCTGCGACGGCAGGCAAAAACACTAGTTTCTGCCACTGCGGCTTCTACGCTTCGTAACTCGAGAACAAAAAAATCTGGGGAACATGCGGTTTGCGCTTTTATTCATTTGAGAAATGCCTTTAATACATATATTTTTTTTCGTGAAAATTAAAAACTGGACCCTTTCAGTTTGCCCGATATGGGAAATTTCATCTCAAATCGGGCAGACTAAAAGGGTCCAATTTTAATTTTCACGAAAAAAATGTGTGTTTTGGGGGCATTTCTAAAATGAAGGAGGGCGCAAACCGCATGTTCCCCAGATTTTTTGTTCTTCAGTTACGAAGCGTAGAAGCCGCAGTGGCAGAAACTAGTGTTTTTGCCTGACGTCGCAGGCGTCAGGCAGTTACGTCGCAGGCCAGAAGAGGGTGTTTGTCACCCTCTTCTGGCGCTAGTCTTTTCCCTATACCTTTTTAACTTTTTCCCCTCGTTTAATAAATACTATAAAGATACCTTCACGTGTTCAAATACCTCTAATAGTTTGATTGTTTTCTAAACAAAATGTCAAACTTGTCACTCAGGTGGACTTTTCGTCAACTTTGACAGATCATTACTTTGTCTGTACTTAAAGGTACATTTTATTTCTTTAGCTCTATATCAAGCCCTAATCATGCCTAGTATAGATATAGTAATGTAATTATTATCTGCCGAGTAGCCGCTCCGCTACCTTCACGTAAACGTTGTGAAAAATAACAAATGTTCACACATTTCACGCGATTACGGCTCCAACAGAGGACATAAAACCAAAATATTACATTTCTAGACTGTTTTTTTTCTTGTAGTCGACTAAAATGTCTAAAAGAATTTAAAAAAATAAAAATTTACTAAAATGGGATTTTTGAGAAAATCGGCCTCAAACTTTCAACATTTGTTATTTCTTACAACGTTTACGTGAAGGTAGCGGAGCGGTTAGTCGACAGATCATAATGATATTATTATATCTATAATGTGCTTGCTTTGGGTTTCTGTAGAGCCAAAGAAAGAAAATTTATTTTCAGTACAATAACCTGTCAAAGTTGACCAAAATGCGACCGGAGTGACGAGTTTTACATGTTTTTTGGAAAACAATCAAATTCCTAAAAATATTTGAATACGTCAAGGTGTCTTTATAATACCTATTAAATGAGGGGGAAAAGTTAGAAGGGTGTAGAAAAAACACTAGCGCCAGCAGAGGGTGTCAAACACGCGACCTGCGACGGCAGGCAAAAAACTAGTTTCTGCCACTGCGGCTTCTATGGCTCGTAACTCGAGAACAAAAAATCTGGGGAACATGCAGTTTGTGCCCTCCTTCATTTGAGAAATGCCCCCAAAACATATTTTTTTCGTGAAAACTAAAAATTAGTCCCTTTTAGCCTGCCCGATTTAAGATCTAAATTTTCTCGAGTTTTATATGACCCCGAGACAAAAAATTCTAGAATTGTAATAGAGAAGTTTGTATGGTCATTCGTTGGTCAACATATGCATGACTGACAGACACGGTAGTGTATCGAAAGAAACTGCTTGAAGCCACTGCATCGCAAAGTACTTTGCGAATCTAAAAATTCAAGGCTTGGAGTCTAAATATACCAGGCTGGAACAAGGTTGGAATTTATAAATAAACCAGTTCTTTTCTTTTTTTTTTTTTTTTTGAGATCCCATTGTCTGTTTGCATATCAATTAAGTCGCATCACAAGGTGCATAACGGCTACAGTCGTCTGTGCTACATGTGCCAAAAACTAGACGGTTACAAGCTAACCTTTTGAATCAGTACCTAGAATTATCACGATGTTTCAATGCGAGGTTGTCGTATCTCACCGCCATAATTTTTTTCCCTAAAGTCGGGGTCACACGGCTTACACGTCATACAAAAGACAATGCGCAAACATTCACCAAGAGATCTGAGCTTCGAGTGCCGCACGGCAACGAATTTAAGGAGACACATGGCACGCGACATTCAAACCAGCGATATTATGGAAAAAAAAATGGGTAGTGTGTGTGTTTATACAGCCTAGAACTTGGTCTGCCTCACAGGGGCGACGAGTCTCCCAGCTGTAGATGAGAAATTTTGCCAGTGCAGTACGACTGCTAGCCTGGGGTCTTTAACGTGCACCACGCAGTAGTGATACACGACCGCTCGCCGCTACGATGCTCATCCAGATCGAAACGGGCAGGGGTGGGGCTCGAACCCAGGATCCCTGGGTTCAGCAGCGCGAGCTTTCGCTCCACGTGCTCCGAGCTGGCGTGCGCTAGACATATTATGGCACCTGATACAGCAGACTGTCTTTTGTATTATTTATAAGCAGTGTGATCCCAGCTTAAAGGTAGTTTTAGTAGAAGCAGACACCGTAATATGACCCGCAAAAATTGCGTAGTATTAAAAGGACAGCACTATATATAGTCTTAAACCTCGTGCTCGGGCTCAGAAGGCTACACCAAACAATGTGCAAAAATTAAAAAAAAAAAAGGTGCAGCATGAAATTTAGGAAAATCCAAATGTTTCATGTACAAAGCTAATTTTTTTTTTTTTTTTTTTTTTTTTTTTTTACAGATTGCAGTGAAATATATCAAAAGGCGCGCTTGTAGCGCTAGCCGCCACATGTCCAGATGCATATCTCAAATTAAATAAGCATCACAACTTGTTTATCTACGTACTCAGAGCAGCTGTTCACCGCTCTACAACAATCTAAGTAGAAGTGGCAGTAACTCGATGTAAGACTTTTTCTTGGACTGTTCTGCCTCGCGCCATGCTGTGGATGACTGGGTTGAGAGTGCCAGGGGTTTCCCCAGGAATTGAAATGGGGGGGGGGGTCTAAATTTTTAGGGGGGGGGGGGGGAGTTAGGGGGGCATTGAGAATATAGGAATCGTTGCGAATTAAGGGGGTGCCTTCAGAAAAACAAGGGGGTTGAAGGAAAATCACTGGAGAGTGCCTCCTAACGGAGAGACGCCGCCTCCTTTTTTACCGATTACATCCTCTCCGCACGAATGGGACGGCCGGAGAAGAGTTTGCGCCCTTCGGGATCTCGGAGGACATGCTTGTAGTATTTATAATTCTTGAATGAGGTGAATTCTAGCGCATTTTTGTCATTTGAATTTGGATATCGCAAGCACCCGAATGTATCAATACCGAAAAACCGAAAAAACAAGCGCCGAGTGCGACGTCATACCCAGAGGTTTCAGCTGCTTGTGAGGGAATGCATGCAGCACTTTTGACGGGGGATCAGTGTTAGGGTTCTCCATGTCACGATTCCCTCCTCACACTCAACGCGACGGGAGGAAGGGAGCTTCAGTGCTATTTCGAAAGCGCTGTTGCGGCTACTTGGTGCATCAATCTGTAATACAACTGTGATATCGGTAATCCCGGAGACCAGTTGCGTAGCTGGGAATAGTTTTCAGGGGGGGGGGCCGAGGTGGTTGAGATGTCCATGACTTGGGATGCGGAGGGAGGGAGGGAGGGAGGGAGGGAGGGCGGGGGGGGGGGGGGGGGAAACAGTCAGATGACCGTCTCAGCAACCTCACACGCTTTCACTCGACGGTGTTCCATAATGATACCGTCGATTTTGTCAACGTGTCTGTCGCAGTTACTTCAACTAAGCGTCGGGAGCTCGCTCCATCTTCGGTAGACATTCGACCACATTTAAACTTGCTTATCCCAACACCGGTGCAGTCGCCATGAACGTCATCTAGCTTGGCTTTGATATGTGCGGCCAACCACTTGCTCAAATAAAACTGCTTAATCACTGCGCAGAGTTTGTTTTTCTTCATTTTTATGGCAACTGATGAAGTCTTCACTTCATACATTTCTAGAGCATGACTCATGTGTTGCTTCAAGATGAGAACAGGCCTGACCTAGTTTGAAAAGTGATAATTTATCGTTGAATTAATTGTGGTACCATCTCAGAGAAATTGAGCAAACTTAGCTCAGCAGCTCCAGAAAGTGACACACACGCCCGTATGAGAAGTATAAAATCCCTTGGTACAATATCTTGCCCCCACCACAACATACACCAAAGGGCTCTGCTGTAACGGACAGTATTCCCAGGTCTTTATTTATGGCCTCTTGTTGAGTGAGCACAGCTCAGAAGCACATCCTTTCAGCTCCTAGTGCGTGCAACAAAGCAAACTCCACAGGTGTCCCCTACTAACAACGGAACTGGCCAGGACATCCCTCCAGTCTCTTGTTGCCAGTACATACAGCTGCTCCCATCGATACAGTTTGTACAAATGATGATTTATGTCTTGCACATCCTGCAAGGTCAGGGTTTCCCAATTGCTACATGAATTCTTAAAAGCCAAGTCCGTTTGAGTAGCTACAGGCAGAGTTGTTGGTTTTGGGATAAAAATGAGGCGTCTGCACCATTTTGATGCCACTAGCATGTACAACACTGCTTACGCCTCCACCCATCTTGTTCTACGGAGAGTAGCCTCTGGAGCACATTTAGCGTCAAATAGATCTCCTTAAATGCATTATTCTTCCATCTATGGACTAAAGCTTACCCTACTAAATAAAATAGCCTACCTATTTTTTTTTTTCTTTTACAAAGTTTTAGAATCTCGTATAATGCAACGCACCATTCAAATCCCCCAAAGCCTTTATGAACATGGGACATCACGAAAAGAATAACTACTCTCAATGAGATGGCTGCTCTGAAGTTTAACGCAAATTGCTCATGTATAGATATTAAGCTGCTGCCAACTACTTTGAGCACGACTAAACGTCCACATCGCATTAGCTGCACTTGCGTCGCCTTGTCGCCAAGAAAATGCTAGGCACACTGGGACTTGGAATGCTAAAAGCAAAGCACTGACAAAGCTGTACTTTGCAGTACTCTAGGCTCCAACCCGTATTGCAGCTGGAACATGGAACAAAACAAGCAACAGCGAAACCTGAGAACAAGGCATATCTGGCCATTCATCCTAAAAAGAAAACCAATCTACTGCCAAAACGAAAATCCACATGTTCTAGTCTATGCATACAAATTTCATACTTTGCATACTTTTCACTTTGCATACAAATTTCATTTGACACAAACCATCAAATGCTAAGGAAGGAGGCGAGAATCTAAGATTGCTCTCACATAGGGCGTCCACTTTCCCTTTGCTGCAGCAACAGACACGCCAAGGGCTTACAAAAGAGGCACTAGAAAACATCCAATAAATGTGGAAAGTGCCTCGCAGAAAACTTGCTAGGCATTCTGGAATGAGCTTGAAATGCATTTCGCACCAAAAGATGTGAGAAAAAAAAAATAAAGCAAGATAAATATTTTTTTAAAGTCTTTGCAGCCACAACCTTAATTTTGTCAGGCCTTGACAAGAAAACAAAAAACAAAACAAATGCACGCCGGCTTGCTTTTGAAGCTACGTCGATAAAGTCGCTGCCAGGGGGTTGCTATCCCAATAGTTTGCCAGGGGTAAGCACAACTTACGACAGTGCACAGCACCAATACCACAAAAAAAAAAAAAAGTTTTGCAGTGGCTAGTTATTACTTCCAACTTAATCACGACCACCAGTGGAAATGCAGGTTACTGGTCCTAACATTGCCACTATAAGAGTGACACATCCCATCAAAACTTAACAACCACGGGAGACGGGTGGATTGCATAAGGAAGGAGGGGAAGCAAAGGGACATCTCCCTGTAATTTTCGCTAGTAACAAAAAAAAAAAAAAAAATTGTGGAGTTTTACTTAAAGGAATGTATAAAATCTGGTCAAATATTATCTTGCTTTTGAAGCCAGAATAATTTTCGATAAAAATATATTACTATTTCTGTTAACCCCACAAGAAAAATGAAGAAAAACTTGGCCGGGCATTACGAGCACACCAGAGCAGCCAGCTCGAGGGGGACTGGATATTTGGCCTTTCTCGGCCCAGCCATGGGTGTTCCCAGAAGCCCCAACCCCATCGTATGAACCAGGAGGCGATGCACTAATGCCACACACATATTTGAAATTATTGTTCTACAAAGAAATAGACACTTGCTTCCTTCTTCCGGCCCCCATTGAATACCTGCAAGAGCGTCAAGGGGGAAAAAAATGTGCAGCAAGAGTGTAAAAATTTCCCCTGCAAGGCCACTGACAAGTCTGATCGGTCGCCAACTGGAACCGATTGACCCATCCTCCAACCACATTGTCCTCCCTCGTGGCAAACAACTTGAAACCCTGGCCGCTTGCACCACAATCGACGGTACCCTTCCAGGTCGTGCCAAAGCTGGCGACAAATGCCAGAGCCGAGAGGCACCTCAGACACCATCACATAAGCATGCAACAGTCCTTGCGCTGTGGCTCCCCGACAATTTCTGACGGGTCGCTGCGAAACCTGCGAATGGACGTCGACGGCGAAGATGGAGGCGGATCATAGCTTGGCCGGCGTACTGTGGCACTGAAGTGATGCTGCTGCTGGTGACCGTTGTGACCCGTCGAAGCGGCCATCTTGCCTACCAGTTCCTGCTGCTGCGACGACGACAACGTCAAGGAACCTCGACTGTTGCGCAGGTCTGCACGGTGCTTCTTGAGGTCTGACAGCGTCCCGTTCTGCGGGGAGAATCCCAGTGCTGCCTGCTGCGTGTTCACAGTCACGTGAATCTCCACTTTGACTGCTTCCGTTGCGGTGCTACTGCCACCGGGGCTGCGTGCTGGAGACAGCTCAGAGTAGGACGGGGGCCCCGCGGCCGGGTCCGCCAGCAGGGCCAGGACGCCATCCGAGGCGTAGCGGGGGGGGCGACACCTCGGTGGGGGATGGCTGCTCACTGCCAGGGCTCGTCCGAGCACTCGAGTCGCCCTCGGGAGTCGCCTCCTTCTTGGACGCTTCTTCGTCCTGAGGCGTCCAAAGCAAGACACTGTTCTGACCGGGGCCCATCATAGCCTTTCTTGTTACTGTGTCACCCGCAAGGGTATCACTGAATATGGTTAGGAAAGAGTGATCCTCATGCACAGAACTGGTACCAAAATGAGCTGGCTAATCCACACTCCAACTTGCAGATGGCACCTTAAAAAATGGCCATTTCTATCTGTTGCAATATGCCGCATGCAAAGTCCTGCCTAGATACCAGCAAAGAAATAATCCAAAGTCGCTTTCAAGATGTGCAACACAATAAATGATAAATAGGGTAATGGGCAATAGCAGTTTCACTATCGTCGGTGGCAGGTCAAGAACCCAAGAATGGAAGGCTGGGGAAAAGGAAAGATCCCCCTCTCTCCAGCATTCCGTGTGCTTCCTCCTCTCCAGCCTTCCTTTCCCTCACCCTGGGTTCTTGACCTGTTGCGACTATACGCAGTGATAGTGCTCCTTAATCAAACTTGGCAACTCAAGATGGAGTAGTGCCGGTTCTGCATGTGTCCTTTGCCTTCATCTTGGACACTATGCATGACTAAACATATGGATATGTGGTGCTACAATAATCGGCTCAATTTATATCCAAGAAAAACTAAAGACCTCAGATTTAGTCAAAAACACATTGTATACACGTCCTTACATGCTTGGTATATCAGAAATAGAAAGAATATCTATTATACGGGATCTTCGTGTGTTTTGCGATTCCGTGCTTTGGATGGACTCTCGTGTTAATGCTGTGTTGGCTTGATCATTGAAGATGCTTAGCATGGTTTTGACAATTACCTATCCGAGCGTTTTTAAGTATTGCCATCTGCACTTGTGCTGGGCAGCTGCTTTGTCCGCTCAACACTGAAATTTGCATGTACTGCCTGGAATTCATTCAATTCTTCAAAATCTAGGCATATTAAAAATGTCCAGAGCCAGTATATTTGCTTAATTTATGACCGATACCTCAGAAAGAAATGTTATTATGACTAACTGGCTGCTAAGAAGCTAGATATGGACACACTTTGGAAAAGAAGAGGTGGTGGTGGTGAAAACGTTTGTTTTTTTAATATAGAGGCTTTTGTCCCTATAGTTGTCCCATCGGGTCAGTGGGGAGAGGGAAAGTTTAAAAGAGTTGTTCAATGCCGGCACATTGGATGAAGGAAAGGAGTGCATTGTAAACAGCTTTTTGTAGTGTTGGGGGCCCTGTCAGCGTACCATCATGGTTTGGAAGAGCAGCGTTCACAGAAATTAAAAAGATATCCAGTTCACAATTTGTTACTTTTCCACAAATTTTGAAATGACAAAGTGCCAGACTTGGACCCAAGTCCGGCATCCATTGTAAGCCCATGTTTACCTCTTGTAAAGTTCCAAGCTCTTGCCTGTCATCCATATGGAAGACTTCTAATAGTTTTTTGTCATCTGTCATTGATATGTTTATGCCTCGGATTAATTGTAAGAACCTGTTGATGTTAGAGCTGTCATAGGATGTGGATTTTTATCTTGTTCCATATTTTTATGTATATAGTGACTGAATGTTTCATGTTTTGTCTCTGTTGCGATGTACCGCGGGAAAGGCATGTAGCTGTCGATGATCAATAAACAAAAAAACGGCACCGAATTGCTCGTGCAGTCATTGTGCTGCCACCTGTGGGCTGCACCCTACTGGAGCGGCCAGCATTTCCCGGGGAAAAGCAGACGGCAGAGATGTAGCAAAGCTTGCACGTTGCCAGGAGTCTGCTCCCAGATGGACATGAAACAGACAATGAAGAGCACACACCTCATCCTTGCTGACGGGTGCCTGCTGTTCCTGCCGGATGCGGGCCTCCTCCCGGGCCTCTCGCCGAGAGATCATCCCTTTTTCCCTGATGCTCGTTCGCCGAACCGACTGGCTGCTCCACACCAAATGCATCCAAGTAAAAAGAAAGAGGCACAGCCTGGTCACTGTTGCGCCATCTTCCCTTCCATCTGCTACATATTTGGAGCATTAACAATTACTGAAACAAGCTCCGCAAGTTTTCCGAAAACCTCCCTTTCCTGGAGCCGACAATAGTGTTTTAGTAGATGCTTCAGTCACTCATGCTACACAATCCGCAACGACCTCTGCTATATGTGGCGTAGCGGAACCACCATTTCAAGTTTTAATAAAACATTCGCCACCCGCTACAGATTACAGCAGTACGAGAGCTAACGCAACGCAACTAGTGGCTCTTTCAGACACTAAGGCTCGCATAAAATCAAAATTTGTAAAGCAATTCTTTGATTAACAGTGGCTTCTTCATAGAATATTCTTTCCTGAATAAAGTGCTAATCTTTGCTTTTCTTTTTTAAAGTAAATGACTATGTTTGTAATTGAATACAACTGACGGCCAAGCTGTCCAAGCCAATCCGATACGAGTCAAGCGTCAAAGCCAGCGAGAGAAATCTTCAAAAATAAATTAAAACAACCGTAGCTCTTCCGTTACGTCATTCACTGAAAATAAAACGCCACGGAAATCCCTCCGACCTGCCTGCTCACTCACTTCCTTGGTCAGTTCTGTCCTTGCGACAAAACGGCCGAGCAGGAGGCCGCACCCTTCGCTCGCAGCACCACGGATTACAAAGTTTTTTCATGCGAAAGCATTAACTATCCCATGGAGTGGTGCTGGCGGCGTCTGTAACCGCAAAAGAAATGCCCATTCTCCCATTGGCTGAACAAAATGGCTCCTAGATAGCCATTGGCGGCAGCTTCCCGAGAGCGCGCGCTCGGCCGCCGCTCTCGCGTCAGGCGTTGCCGGAGAGAGGTGGGCGAGGGCAGAACCGACCCGAGGCACCTATATCGTCAGCGGCCGCAACCTCGGCAGAAGCGAAACCTGGCCATTCACGCCACTATAACGCAGACAAACTAAGGGGGCGGAAGAACGACATTCATGCTTTCGCATTCACAACTCGTGAGAAGTGCTTACTGTAAAATACAGGGGAAGCGCCCACTTTCGGACATGAGCCCCACCATTAACATATTCAAAACTTCGGAATTCTGATCAGCTCCAAAGTGCCGCTACGAGAACACCAGCGGGGATGACGGGAATGTACGCTTCCTTGCAATGGAAAGGGAAAGACTTCTTGGGGAGAGGAGACCATTCACTGTATTGTCTAGGTCACTTGGGTACAGTGAAAGGTCCCTAAAATGCTGGATGTCAGCAGCCCAGCTGAAGCCATGTCAGAATCAATGGGAGTGGAGATAAAGCAGTGTGACAATGTTCTTGGAAACAAAACCAGCGGTCCCAGGGCTCTTGTGAGACACATTCTGGTAAAAAGTGCACGCTGCCGCGATTCCCTCACTTCTCGTGCACGCTGCCGCCATCTTGATTTTTACTGCTTCAACCGGACAAGTGCGCATGTCTAGACAAACCAATTTTTCAGTGAAGGTGGGATGGGCACTTCCCCAGTATTTTACAATAGCTGTCCTCGGAATTTTTTTTTTCACCCCGTGGCCATATTTAGCACGTCCGCCATAAATCTCTACCTGTTGCAGTCCTGGAACGGCTTTGTCGCGGCTACTTCTCGCAGCAGCAATATATAATCCACCCCTCGGAGCCGCGATCGCAAAGCGGACAGACTGGACAGGTGTGGCGGCCATCTTGAATCGTGTCCCTCGCTGGCTTGCTGTTATCTCGCCAAGACTCATTCTCGCGAGACCCACGCTAGTACGCTGCGCTACGCTCCTCGCTATTTCGGTCAGGTAGCACGCCTCCGCTAGCTTCCGCAGCGTTTCCGCTAGCAGCGCGCAGCAGCGTCGTCGCTACATAACATAGCGGGAGAGCCAAAACAATCTACTAAAACTCTCTAATGATTGCTCACTGCTCTTACCTTCGAGTGTTTTGGCTCTGGGTGCGCCTTAGCTTGTTGGGCTGCATGGCCCTTTTGGTCTCCATTTCGCTTCGCAGCTGCACAATCCGCTCCTTCAGGTCAGGGTCTTCGCAGATATCTGCAGCAAAGAGGCCGTCACTCCCTAGCACTCATTCATTGAAAGCTCCGACTCTTTCCCCTTTACCGCCCGACTTTTATTACCCTTTGACCCCAAAAAAATCAATTTCATACAGGCTGTCACCATATAAACAGGACTAAATATATTTTCCAAAATTTTTATAAATGCGAGAATTTTTTCAAAAATCGGTTTGTGTCAGATATATATGATCGGCAGTAGTGGCAATTCTACTCAAACCAATAAATATTTTAAATTAAGATATCATGACCATATGCTCTATGGCAAACATTTCTTTTAAGTTTGATGGTCGCGTGAATGCGTCGAATAACTGGTTTTGTCCAACACAATATGGCACAAACGGTGTTTCCAGTTTAGCGGTTTTCCGAGTTGTATAGCGGGATCAATGGTTTCCGACATTTTAGTAGTTTTCAGGTCATGTTAGCCCTTTTTCTGGAAGTTTAAAATCTTTTTGAATTTGCCAATCATAAATAAGTCAGTCAATTTCTGTGACAACTTAGAAACATGAGATCGACATCTTTTGCTTGCAATGCCATTGAGATATTACAGGAGCAAACCGAAACATCCTTTCATCTAATTAGTGCGTGAATGTATGAATTAATTTTCAAAGTCTGCCAGATGAAATGCACCCAGTGAATTATGTATGCACAAAAATTCAGAAAACATGGGGGCTATAGATTTTTAAACTTTAAAACTGGAAGTTCCAAGCGACATTAGACAAGTCAGAAACCTCTACTGGAAAATAAAACGTTTTGGAAAGCATGTGAATTTGGTCTACCACCACATACTACACTAAAAATTGTAACGATGGAGGTGTACGTCACGAGGTAAGGCAAGACAACACACCTGGGGCTCGAAGCTACATGGCGGGACCAAGCGGGACCAAAGGGCATTGCCCTCTGCTGCGATTGGTCAGAGGCACGGCACTAGCCAATCACAGCAGGCGGCAATATCCTGGTCTTATCGTGCAGCTTAGGGCTCCTGGTAACAGTAAGATCATGCAGTGGACATTGTTTTGTGCACGGTAGCATACAGTCTAACAACATAGTTCCCTTCTAATGTTTTCTTTTTAATTTATTTATTGTACCGTTTTTAGACTAAGTATAGCAGTAAATTATGTTAAAACTTCTGCCTGCACCTAAAATTTAGCGATTTTGCAGATTTTTCTTTTTTTTAGTTGGCAACATTAATTATACAATTTATGATGCATGAAATTTCACGCAAAAAAGTACCGATTTTGCTGAAGCAGTGAGTGCCATTGCATTTTTGTCATGCCACAAAGAATTTCGCTTGGCAACTGGGTGCTTCACGGCTTCAGCCAAAGGGGAAGTGATCTTTTGTTCTTGTTTGCGGTTTATGTTGTACAGCTGCTTCGGACATGAAATAGTATTACCGTAAAATACCGGGCAAGTGCCCACTCAAAATTTAGCAATAATCGCGAAAAAATGGGGATGGGCGCTTGTCCGGCCATCAATTTTACATATAAATGTACTGTGCATATTTTCTCAGATCTTAGAAATTTGGATATGGGCGCTTAATGCGGAATGGGCGGATATGCGGTATTCTACGGTATAGTGATATCTTTTCTTCAACCTGAGCTAGAATCTGTGAAGATGCAACATACAGTCAAAAAGGTCTATGCCCTTGAGGTAGCTGTAGTATACTCTGACCGATTGTAAGCACAACTGCAATATTTTCCCATCTCTCTAACAGACTGCATACTGCGCCATATCCGACACACACTCAAACCAGCATAGAGTAAACAAAGTGTGCGATAGGCAGAACAACTTTCATCTATGCGATCAAGTATGACAGAGAAGAAGCTATCTGAACGGCAAACCCAAAACCGAAACAATGCAGCAGTCACTAGTCAAAGCAGAGGATAGATGGAGGCCTGGCACTGGAAGCTGAACTGTGTCATATATGGATCCACATGCAGTTGAGCACAAACCATTGTAGTAATATTTCATACATTCTTTACTGATATGCACCATGTAGTAAAGGGTCATTGGCTTCTGCACTGTCGCTGCTGATTTACCAAATCATGAGGTGCTTTGTTGTCATTCAGTGTATCTCCCAAACCTAGCGGCAAAGGGGGCTTTGTTTGGAAAACAAAAAAAGGTCTGAATGAAGCACCCGGGTATTTTATCTGGTGTAGACAGAATGCTCAACAACACAGCAGAATGAGAGTGTTTCCTTTACCATAAGGGGTTTCTCCGTTTTTGGTTCTGGCATTCAGGTCACCCCCAGCCTGAACCAGCATTTCCAAGACGTCGGGCTGCAGCACAAAGAAAAGTGTGTCACAAACTGCGCAGCGGGCTCAGCTTAGTCTCCTAAGCCTCACCTGAACTCGAACCAAGAATGGGTGAACCACAAGAATGCACACTCACATGTCCCCAGCAGGCTGCTGCATGGATGGGCTGCCACTGGTCATTATCGCACACATCGGTGGACACGTGCTGATCGAGAAGGAACTCCACCACAGACACGTAGCCGTTGGCAGCAGCAATGTGCAACTGCATGCACACAACAGAGGCACAGAAAATCAGTACTGCAGCTAGACAGAGCCCCTCAAAATGACACGCAAGCCAACATGAAAGCATCAAATAGGCAAAAAACAAAGTCCCAAAGCTACCCTTGGAGCTTTTAGACGCTGCTCGGTGCCAAGCTGTTTGGATTGACTTCAAAGTGGTCCCATCGTGCATTCTTTCTCCAACACATACCTAAAACGGGGTCATACTCAGCAAGTCCTTTTGGAGCAGCTAAAAGCCCATTTTGGAGAAGCCAATGGACCTTTTGAAGCACAAGATTACACGGAATTTTAATTCCTACCACTGCAAATATTAAGATTAATCTGTTAGCCTGTCTATCAAGAGCCATTATCTATGTCACCTTCCCACTTACGTGCAACCTTTTGTTATTGACTGCACGGCAGGTTTAATTCCTTCAAACACAGAACTAGCAGTTGCATGTAGACTAGTACCAAGCACGACAACACTATGCTGAATGATGAAGGACAGTATGAACTGCTGCGAATGGTTATTGTAGCTACAGAGCCAAAAGTAAGCCAAAGAGTATATTCCACGGAAGACATGTTAGAACAGAATAATACTGAGCCCCCAAGTTGATGTTTCATTTAAGTCCTAAAAGTTGTAATTAAACTGGAATTCTTAATCCATATAAAAACAAAACTTTTGTCATTTTATTATTAACATCAATGACAATTTATATGTAGGACTTCATGATAACACAAATCGGAATTTTGAACAATAAATAAGCCCTAGAAACAATCCAGTTGAACTCACCAAGACTATTCTCAAGTTTTCATCCACTCCTTCAGCTAATCGAGTTTTAATATATGTGCCATCGTACAGATGGAACCGATGTAAAAGTAACAACTAAACCAAAGAGATGGCATAAAAAATAAGCTTATAAAGAAGTTTATATAAATCTTCCAGCAATACACACACACTTGCTAAATCTCGAATTTGAAAAAATCAGAATATTACAGTTTATTATAGACCGTTCCATTAGGGTCATAGCAGAGAGGGTAATAGAGAGAAAAAAATGCCCTCCTCCTCTCACCCGATGTCGTCTGCTCCGCCGAGTGAGCTGTACCTAGCATTCGGCTGGCGTACAAACTCTGTTTAAAATCGCGTCATTTTGGAAATTTCAAGCGCAGATGCGCAGATTTTGGTATGCCAGTTATCGTGTAATACTATGCTAGATAAAAAGACTAACAGGGTGCAATTGCGCTGTTACCTGCGTGCAAATAAACAAAAATAGGGCGAACTGTGTCAGATTGGCCGGTCTCTCCGGCGAAAAGTAAATCCGGTGGCTGTACCTTTTTTTACTATACGAAGTTCGTACTGGTGTAGGCCTTTAGCGACCATGAGTGGAGGTCTAAAATAATAAATAAAAACGTGCACTCCAGCCGCAATACACGCAGTAGTTGAGGTATAGTACCGCCGGCTGACTCAACTGCTATTTAAGTAACGGAAAAAAGATATGCAAGTTGATCATTTACCAAAGTAGAAAAACAGCTCCAAAATCTAGCTATAGGCCGATTTTGGAGTAGCAATAACTAATCTAAGAACGCGAACCACTTCACAACGGCAGCCACGAGCGAGAGTTCGATGTTCCGTACAGCCTGCCGGTACAGCCCAAAGATGGAGAATGGCAACCTCCCGGTTTGTCGTCTGCTAGTGGGGTCGAGCGCATGCCCTCTCTCTCGTTTTACCCCGCCGAACCCGCTGAATTTCCCGGATGTATGGAGAGGGCGCTGCTGTCAAACAAAATGGTGCCGTCCAGAGAGCGCTAAATGGAATGGTCTATAATACTATACCGGTTTTCACCTAAAGAAAAAGCAAGTTTTGAGCATTGTTCATACGCGGCACGAAGTAGTTCTTACTAGATTTGGTTGTCAGAGAAGAGATGCCTTTGGTCCGGTCCGTGCAGGTCGTGATAACATATATCTAATCTACAATTCACCTACATATATCTTAATTCTCTACATAAAGGGGGAAATGAGTAATGCGGAGCCGGACTTTTTTACTACGGTCCTTGAGGTAAGAACGGGTATAGTAGCAGTTTTATTCAGAATTTTAGTACAAGGTACAGTTGTTACATCAGCACTTACAAAGTAAGTGTAAGTGTAAGTGTCAGTGTGTGTGTGTGTGTGTGTGCATATATATATATATATATATATATATATATATATATATATATATATATATATATATATATATATACACACACACCCAACACTTCTGTGTTGTTTTGCCTCGTTTTGGAGAAGCGTTTTCCCCTTAGTATGTGGCTGCGCTGCGGCGAAGCTCGACAGAAAAAAAATCATGATGCAGACTTTGCGGCATCAGGTTTGCTGCAGTGCACCAGTGCACAGCGAGAATCTCACTCAGCGAAGCTACCTAACCCACCAGAAGAGACCACGAACAGAGAATACTGCGTAACCTCTGAGCGCGATCAGTACTTGATAAAGAAATCAAATCGAGTAATATGTTACTTAAAACGAAAGTTATGAAAATTTAGACAAGCCTAAAATAACAATCCGGCTAATAAAGCGGTAGGATTGTTACGGTAAAGTAAAGATACATTTTGGCGCAACGTTGGTGCAAATTCATCACACTCATCGAAATGAAACAGGATGTAGCAGGGTAAGAACTTTAGCACAGTTCGGTGCAGTAATTACATCACTGCATACTTGATTGTTGCTATCGCTTGGCAGTTACTAAACAGGAGAAGACGAGAATAAAATGAGCTCATAAGGCTAGCAAGGATGGGCTGGAGAACTTCTCAGCAAGTGACAATTTGGCAGCAGGAAAAACACTGACCGGTGTAGCGCCCTGCTCGTCTCTGAATTCCAGGTCACCTCCAGCATCGTTGAGGTTTCTCAGGTCACTCAGCATCATCACCTCGTTTGCAGCCCGAGTCTCGTCAATCATTTCCTGAGTTATTCCTGCAGCAGATCACATCATCCATTGTGCAACTCACACTTTTTCATGCCAGCAGTCAACTTGGGCTACAAGCAGTGACACAAACTACCATGGCTGTACTTTGAATAGATCCTTACAGCCAAGTAACCATAAAGAAGAGAGTTGATGCGAACGAGTTGGATCTCCATGGGTGAAATTAAAGGCTGCATGCATCCAGCCCCTGTAGCTGAAGAATCTAGAGCAACCACAGTAAATGAAAATCCAGCGAGAAACTCTTACTGGAGTCCTTATTAAAAGACAAGCCCTCTCTCCTCGGTGTGTAAAAATGTGAGATGGGTGTCCAAAATTCATCTAAAAGTAAAAAAAAAAAAAATTACAAGCAAAAATGAGAAAGGTTATGTTCCTAGAAACAAAAATTTGCAGCAGTTTTGCATTAGAGTACATTGAATAACTTGTGGCTAACTTTGACTGAGGGGTTCTCTACAACAATAAGCTAAATGTGAGAAATGTAGTATGAGGAAGGCATCATTGAATGCCATTTCCTGCTACATCTCACACAGGCATAGTCACAGTCGAGGAAGCCTCTCGACTGACAGCCGTGACAGCCGAGGAAGCCCTCATGGCCTCGACATTGCTGTAACAGAGCGGAGCCGACAGACCTAGCAAGTGTTGGGCTCATAGTCGTGCATCAACAGGTGGCTCACATCTGCTAAAATGTTGAGAGGCACAAATGGTCCTGTACATTTGGCAGGTCCCCGTCTGCCTTGAATCACATTCAAATAATCTCAATCCAGAACGCTCCTTTCTTTTTCCAAGCAGGGAGGTATGAACATTTGAATCCAAACATGGGCTCACCTCGCTTGGCCATTTCCGATTCAATGTAGTCGAGCGTGGGTTCGTCCTCACAAATGTCGTACGGCATGTTGCCATCGGCATTCACAGCTAACAGGTCTGCACCCCTAGGAACAAACCGGTACAAAATTTGCAACTGAGAAAAATTGGACTCATTAATGTCAGCTCGAGCATAGCATCATCTCAAAACCATCCTCTCATGTCATCCCATTGTCAGATACTGGGCGTTTAAGCAAAGACTTTAAGAAATCCCTAAAAATAGGGTGGTTGAGGGAAACAAACTGCCAGCCATGACGGACGTCAGAGATTGCAAAAAACATACAACAGTAAAATACCGCGCATCAGCCCATTTCACACTGAGCCCCCATTCCCAAATTTGTGAGATCTGAGAAAATATATGCAGTACATTTATATGTAAAATTGATGCCCCTTCCCCCATTTGTTTTTTCAAAATTATCTGAAAAAATTTAGTGGGCTCTTGCCCGGTCTTTTATGGTAATGTATCTTTTGCTCAATTACCCAAGCATCAAAAAGAATGCCGGGAATGTAGGTATACACGCTGCACACTAGTTAGTCATTTTAGGGGGCGCAATCCAACTAAATTAACAATCAATGTACTTTGGAAAGGGTTTCACAAAAAAATGTAACCTGAAACTTGGTGAAGCTAGAGTTGGTGTAAAGGGCCAATGCTAGTAAGAAAGTTTATTACTCAGCTAAAAGAGATTACAGGATTCTCTCCCAGCAGGAGAGCTGAATGAAATGGGATGTCTTGAACTCGGGGAAAATTAATGCGACGCTTTGGCTCCAGACAGACACGATCACAAGATATGGTAAATACTTATCACCTTATCATTCTAGTGCACGCCGGTTTAGAGACTCCCGTTTATATATCCCTTTATAGAGCAAACCTCACTTTAGAGAAAATGGCGACGAGCCTCCTTTCCACGAATTCGTTCTTAGAGAAACAGAATTCACCGAACTGGGCAAGTCATTGCAGCGTTTGCTCATTCAGCCATTCTGCGTCGGCTGAAGACGAAGCCAACCCAGTCAGCGAGCCAGTTGCTTGGGGGATTGGATGACCAGCGTATTCAGAGTACCATTATGCTGCCTGGAACGAGTCTCCCATTGCTGTCTTTACTGCGTCCAAAAAAGTGGTCCCTCGATTTCCGCCTGATTACGTCGTATATACAAGTGTCATTTTGTCGCCGGTCGCTATCCTGGCGGTGTCCCAGCAGCCATGGTGGCAGATGCCTGTTCTGCTGCAGGTCGCTCTCTGGTGCGACGGTTCACGGATGCTTCGGCAACCAGGAGCTTTGTCTTTTTCACCGGAGCTCCTACAACCAACCATCAGGATTGCGACAGCACGACACTTATTGCTTCTGCAAGGTCATTTGTTGCCACATAGGCTTCCATGTGTGGCTGGGACGCTAAACACACCAGTCTGAGACGCCTTCCAAGCATAGTAGCACGGAACAACTCTTTTCCAAAGAAAATGCTTACGTCTTGCATGGTTTAAGGGGGCAGAGAAAGGAGGCTGGGGGAAACACGCCCAGTTCAGTGACTCATGAACCAGCCTTTCTCGGCTTAAAGACCTGCTTACGTCGACAGAACAGATTTTTCAGAACAAAGTTCACTTTTTGATAAACGGTGTTTCTCTACGCTCAGGCTCCGCTTCAATAAATGGCCGATTCACACGACGGACTGATCTGCGAATGGATTGATCATGTGACGACCTTGTCCGCGGTTTGTGCATCTCCCAAGCGCACCCACACGAGTGAGACGACGAGCGAATGCCAGCGAGGACGGACTAAACCGGTTTGCCATTTGAGAGTGCCGCAAAGCTCCAACATCGCACTGCGACACCGGTGTCAAAGAGAGAAGCCGGCATTTGCTACCGCGATAAAGATTCGTACGCCGCTATTACGTACAGGGCAAGACAGAACACTGCGATAGGCTCCGTGCGAAGCGCCACTATCTTTACTAACCTAAGGCATGGCAGCGACACAGTCATGGTCCCGCTGGAGAAGGCTTTGGCGTAGAGGCAGTCAAGTTCTGGGCTCACAAAAGGGCGTTTGGAGATGCCTTCACGCACTCCACGCTCATGCAGCCTTTCACCGAGCAAGACCTTTCTTGTGGCTCGGTTTACTTAAAGGGAAGATGGGGCACTTCTACATTTGAGAAAAAACGCTTGAATTGCGTTCATTTGGCCTTTAGAATAACAGATATCAAAATTATATTTCAATGCGACGCGCCGGAGAGCCACAAGAGCAATTTCAAAATAGGGCTAAAGCCCCGCCCCCCTAGCCTTGGGCAGCCAAAAGAGCCGTCGATGACGTCATAGACAGCGACTGTCTTTCGCGTTTTTCTCGCGTTTAACAATACTTACGCAGCAAATGGTTTGGGTATTCGGGTTCACGGGGTAAAAATACACTAGAATTCACTTCTAACTCATTTTTTCCAAGAAGCTCCGTAGCTTCCCTTTAAGTACACCACAGCCACAAGAAAGGTCTTGCTTGGTGAAAGGCTGATTAAGCATGCAAGGATTATTGGGGTGTGCTAGACGAGCTTTGACAGAAGCTTCTTGACACGGACCTGAAGGAGTACCGAACCCGCGTTGCATCAGCCGGGCAAAGCTTCTGCAGTTTCTTTCACATGCGGAACCAAGAATCGCGCGACAAAAGAAACCAGCGAATGCACGAAACACAACAATGCGCCATTTCTGTTTTAATCATCTGAAAACAACAACAAAAAAAAAAAAGAAAGCATTATATCGTTGCCAAACTAAATGCTTTTCAAGGCAATCGCCCGCCAAAAATCCGCGAGGGACAAGGCACTCGACTTTACCAGCCTGCGCGTCCGCGGACAAGGCTGAGATCGCAGGAATCAGTGACACCACGGTCACGTGGTACACGGTTCACAGACAAAAATCATGGTCCGCCGTGTGAATCGACTAAAACCGAGCTTCGATAAAACTCTTCCAAACGTGTTTTGACGAGATGGCATTCAATCCAAGACCCGGGTATTTGGCATGTCCAAGTGATGAACTGAGGATTAATTTTCCTGGGGCAACCGAGAGCTCCATTCTTCTCTGCACTCCGCCTCCCTCATGCTGCGGACATCTCGGCAGAGATGTGCCACTGAGGCAGATTCCAGACGCGCAGGAGGAAATAGCTACACGGTGGGCCAATTGCATCCGCCCCTCTTCCAAGGGCGGGAGTAGTTCCATCGGTCAAGTCTCTCAAAAGGGGTATCCACACGAAGGAGAACTCCGCGGACGGATGTCGTGACGTCAACAACCCGGGAAACTCCGTCCCCGGCTCCGCCGCGCGCACTTGCGGAGTTCTCATGCTAAGAGTATGAAGCCTCCGCGCCTCCGCCACGGAGGATAAGGAGAGAACGGCGCCACGAGGTGTCAAAAAGGGATGATGTATGTCTCACGTGATGCGCGCTCCGCGGAGGAAAGGGGCGGATTTCTCCTTCGTGTGGATACCCCTTAAAAGGTAAGCCGAACAGGGAAATAGTTTCATCGAATCATACAAAGCTAGAATGGTGGTCAACAATACACAACTAAATCCCAATGACAATTTCTTTTGTTCTCGCAAACCTTACAGTTCTATTGTCATCCTATCACGTTTTGACGGCCGGCAAAGGAGCGCAGCCTGCTTCTAGGAAATCCCAATGTGCCCCAAAAATGGCGGCGAACCTGGAAATGAGGTAGCGGACCAGGTGGATGTGGCCGCACGTGGCGGCAGCGTGGAGTGGAGTCCACTGCTCACTGTCCTTGGCATTCACATTGGCCCCAAAGTCTATGAGCAGCTTCATCATCTCCTCACTGTCGTCGATGCAGCACTGCACACAAACACAGTCAGTCAGCGGCAGGCACTCACAGTGGTGGGCAAGGGTCCTCCGTGTCTCATTCCCACAACAAACACTCCCAGCACGCAATGGCCGATGGCAGCATGCAAGATGAAGAATACGCTGTCTGGCTGAGCCGCGACACATTTCTGCGCTACGCTATGCACTCATTTAAAGTACACTCAGAGTGAGTACATTCCCAGTATCATTCCCTCCCAAGAATGAAAAGGAGAAACTGCGAGCTGCACAAACATACCAGAATATCCCAAGAGATAGCTCACCTAAAATCGAGAGTAAATCGGGCAAAAACAAGGAGTGGGCTAACTTTCGGTGTACAATCGAGAAAAGTTGAAAAAACACTATTTTTAGATAATGTTTTCCCATCAAACTTGTCATTGCGGCGAGGGATAATGAAGCAAAGATGACAGTACAGGATGTGCATGAGAAAACCAAACTCTGTTTTTTGCACTGCAAAATAAACTAGACATTGTGGAGAGCTCGAACACTGTCAGAACGTAGCCCCAGACGTTCGAGCAAGATGCCAAAGTTTCAACATTGACCATTACTGGAATAAAACGTTAGAAGTAAAAAACTGTTTTCGTCTATGAGAGGAAGCCGTTTATGAGAAGCAGCAGGCGGAATGCTGCTCTTTGTGTAGCAAATCGAGCCAAAAATAGAGGTGGGTTATTTTTCGGGGTTTTATGGTGGGATATTATGGTGGGTGAAAACGTGCAATCTAGTTGGGGAAAAGTACGCTCACTAAATCGCGGTACATACAACTGCAGAATTGCGCGGTCCCAATATCACGTGGTCCATAGACACCATGTCGCGAAAACTTTTTCCTGGTCGCCATGACACTGCAGAGTGTTTTTTAACATTTCTCCGACTTTAGAAGCTTTTGGAAACACTAGAATATTTTATGAAATTCACAAAGCGGTACCTTTCATTGCCCACCGTCTTTATTTGGGTATGTGAAATATTTTTTAAATGCAAAAATTTGTGAATTTCGGCATTTAAATCGGTCTGGCAAAAAAGATACAGTGCCATCCATCACACTGCCATTACATAAACAACTCCTCAATCACGAAGCAGCAAAGCGAGCTCTGGGCCAGCATTAGGCAATTAAGTGTACATATTTATGTTGGTATTTTTAACAGCACGTCCCCGTGGGATTTTGCGTTAAGAGTTTGGAATGCTGGCTTTTGGTGCTGCTTTCAGTTGACAAGTTGGATCTATCAGGAAAGTTATCTCTCTTGACAAGACATCCTGCCACTTCCTCCATCCCTTACAACCTTGTTTAGAAGCGCAAGTTCTTGACGCTACGAATCTCTTGTGCAACAGTAAAAAGGGGACACGGACCCTCCTCACTCTCGATCTGGCTAGTTTTCCTCCTTGAATATATAGCACCCTTAGAAGTGTATAAGCTACGAGAAGTAGCCGTGGGACATTTTAGGCTTCTAGAAGAGTTTGAGAATGCTGCCTCATTTCATCAGGGCTAAAAATAAATATTGGTCATACAAGCCTGCCTAGTGTTTCCCTGCATTACTTGCAAGATGTTATTGCAGATGAATACAAATCAAAAAACTTTGCACCTTGGAGGAGCGCATTCCGAACTTCGTACTGAAAAACCAGGCACCACGTCCGTCTGCCAGTTTCTTGACTTTATCGGTGCTTTTCTCCAATGAGCGCAATGTTCCATGCGGCTGTCACCGCTAAGGAGGTAATAAACAATGATTATTTTAGCGCTGCCTTTATCTTCTCAACTCGCACTCGCAGCCTCACAGCAGACAACAATGATTTTGATGCTTAGACAGATTCACAATAAACAAGCTAAACTTTTTTTTTTCTTCTTTTTTTTATGCAGGATGCAGTAGATTTGTTAAGTGTTCACCATGTTAATAACACAGCATAAAATCTGCTCTTTTTGTTGCATTGTTCTGTTCATTCCCTCTCCTATTCTTCCTTCATCATGGCAGATGCTCCAGGTTGTGAGTTGCATGTACCCTGATATAGTGACCCTAGGGAAAAGCGTGACTTACTGTCAATGCCAGCTACCTGAATCATTTTTTTTTAAAAGAAAACTTTTTCCTTGCCACAAATCGCCAAGTTCTTTAAGTTGTGTGTGGAGTTTGTCCGACTAGTTTTCATGATGATCATTGTGCATGTGTCAATTTGAATGTTGGCTCACCAAAGAAGGCGCTTGTGAACCGGGTATTTAGGATTATGCCTGCATCCGCCAACAAGCAGAGCCGTTTCAATGTCAACGTATCATTCTTACTTTTAACGTTAAAACCGAAAGTGTTAATGCTAAGAAGCTCATCTCCTATTCGTCAACTGATAATCGGCAGAATGCTGCTGGTTTTAATATGCAAAATGACCTTTAGTAATAAAATAAAAAAAAAAAAAAAAAGGAGGTGGAAATTGCATGGATGTTGTCTTCACCGTGCGTTTATAGGGCTCGACGAACATTTGGTGAAAGAATAACTACCACAATCAGTAGGCTAATTAACTACTAAATTATGTTCGTTCACTTTTTCATTGATGGTGTCAGAGGCGAGAAAAGGCTTTGAAATATCCAACAAGTTTTCGTGTCGCTCGAGCCCTGTCCACGTCAACATCTCTGAAGCAAGCTGTCAGTGCATCCACCTAGGACACACTGTCCCAACAACCTGACTGAAACTCTCTTAAGGGGCAACAATATTGGGCAGGTACCTTTCTTACTTTACACAAGCGACACCAGTAGGACCCAAGTACACTTACCAAAAAGCTTCTCTGTCACCATTTAAAGAATAAACATTTTCTTTCAGTCTCTCCTTGGCAAAACTTGATGACCAAGTTGAGTTGGCATTATCAACTCCCTGGGATAGCTTTGCGATCCCCGTGGTGACAATATTTAAATGTGGCTTGTACAAGGAACACACGCACTGCATTCCAATTGGGCTTGTGACAATCAATGCTTCGACATGCACTCAGGTAGTGGCTCGGGACGCTGCCATACGGGAAGAGCCAAACCTTACAAATGGGAGCAACTCGGCGCGTGCCCTGTACTACCCCAGCACATAAACAATGGTTGCATTCTCCAGATCAAGTGGTCGCTTGTGTCAAGCTGCAAGTTAAGCAAGTGAATGCTGCTCGTCTTTCTCAAATTTTTTCTGCAACTACCGTCGCGACGAGCAATAACTAATGCATCTTCCATAGGTTATGAGGGTCGAGGACTAATGCTAACCAGTGTTTACCGAATATACAAAAACTGAAGGGGGATCGGTGACCGAGAAGGCAAGCGCACACCAGCTCTGAGCACGTGGAGCGAAAGCTCGCGCTGCAGAACCCAAAATTCCTGGGTTCAATCCCCACCCCTCCCCGTTCCTATCTGGATGAGCATCGTACCGGCGTGCGGTCGTGTATCACTACTGCGTGGTGCACGTTAAAGACCCCAGGCTAGCGGTTGTATACTGCACTGGCTAAATTTCTCATCTACAGCTGAAAAACAAGTCGCCCGATGAGGCAGACTAACTTCCAGCTGCATAAACATACACAACTCAATTACAAAAATTGTTGCATCACCCCTTTAAGCATCACTGCGGGCAGGACCTCCGGCACACATTCTGTATCCACTTTTGGAATTGCGTGAGAAAAAAAGCAAAAACTGATCAACGAATACCTCAAAACCCGTTGCCTTTTCTAGAATATTTAAACTGGTTGTCTCCAATAAAAATTTCCATATATATTTCAATCGCAACATGACCCAAGAAACCATCAACTAAATAGTTAATGAACAGATTCTAGTTAATTAACCCACTGATCACAACGGTTATCCTTTCATCTTATGTCCACTGAGCTCAAGAAACACACAGCAAAGACGGCTACTGAAGGGATTCCTTAGTTTGCCAGCGTTTTTTTCATCATCCAACTAGTACCCAACCCCAAACAAAAGCCTGCCTTATGAGCTATACCTGGTGCAAGGCAGTGAGTCCATCTTCGTTGGTAGAGTCTGGGCTGACACCAAGCATCAGGAGGCGCCTCACTGCAAAAGAAGAACACGACACCATTGAGTCATTTTTCAAAAGCATTTCCCATAAAGACTTCAAAGGTGCACTAAAGACGTTTCCGAGATCGTCTGTTCTTGGTGATAACTTATCTTACGGGCTCCAAGCACCCTAGAAATTTAAAAATTATACTTGTGGTACGTCCGTTTCCCTACTAAAAATGTGATCGAAGTTTGTGCCACGCCCCTTTCTGAGCGGAAAAATCTGGAGCACAAAATCCAGCAGAGGCGCCCGCGGCGCCTCCGCTTACGATTGGCTGACGTGCATCAGTTGTCACGCCGCCGGTGCCTCTGCTGGATTCTGTGCTCCAGATGTTTGCAAATTTTTAATTTTTCGCATTTCACTTCTTAAATTTTCAATTATCTACAATTTCGCGATTATCAGATTGACATATGTGCGTTTCTAGATTTCTAAATAAAAGGAAATAACAACCGCACACAAACACATAAAAAGGAACAGAAAGTCACATTGCAATCAAGCTCCGAGCGAAAACTACAGGGAGCGCTTTGAAACATGCGCGTAGTGCCACTAGGGGAGGAGCTGGCATTCAACAGTGGGATGCGCCATTCCTGCGGCACCTTTCGCATCCGTGATGGGGACGAGCACATGACCCCGAAGCGCAATGACGTTTCCTCGTCTCTGTGGAAGAAATCTCTGCCGTGTGAATACACCGTTGGGAAGCTTCACTGCGAGAGATACACGGCGATGTGGAAAAGTCGGTTCTCGCTAGCAGTGCTGCGCAAAACTAACTTTGACCTTGCAAAGATTTAGCGTGACATTCCCCCACACCTACTGTATTTACACGCAACACTGTTCCGAAAAAAGCTGGCTTTCATTCGCGGAGGTTAGGTAGATCAACTCCACAACGATCGGGGATTGAACGGTCGAACAACGATCAAGTCTTCATTTACAAAAAGATGAAACAAAAATAAGAAGTCTTAATTAAACAAGCCATTAGGCTTAGGGTGGGTGGAGAAGGGTCAGTTGGAAAAATGTGAAATTCCGAGCTTGGGTTCCGGGCGCATCGATAATAACTTGTTTGCCCCACGTGCCCGGTATCCCACATAACACTTTCAGAGGGTAATGGCTATAAGCTTTTTATTGTCACAGGAAAACTTGGCAGAAGAAACCTTTATCTCAATTCAGGCACGAGTTCAAAATCAAATTCTTCATTTAAAAAAACAAAAAACATGCTCTCCGAGAATTTCTGAAATGAATGGCCGCGTTACAAACGGCAAGCTTTGTGGATTTTTTGTTTTAAGTTATTGATCATTGAAGCGGTCAAGGTGAAGACTGATGTTTCTTCCACCTGCCGGAAATCGCATGCCTGACCGCTCGCTATTCTTTCACTTCTCACACTACTGCACTAAATCTCTTCTATGACACTTCAAAACAGATTTCATGACGATTAATGAATTTTAAAAAAAGTAACATTTTAAAATAATTTTGAATAAAAACAAAAAAAAAAAAAAACAAGTCAATCTTTCTCTTTTTGATGAATTTTGACAAAGTTTGGCAAGTTCTTATATGAAACTTGAAATCACCAAAAAGCTCAAACCTAGCTCTTTTAGTCCATATAAATTCAATAATATATGTACAAAATAGAATCTGTTATATACAAGGTGCCCCTTAAAAACCTTGATTTTTTTTTTTACAGCAAAACTTAAACTATCGTAAAATGTCGTAAGGACGCCCACCCAAAATGAAGAGATAAATCGTGAAAAACATGGGGGGGATCTCGGGGATGCTACAGCAAAACTTTATCAAAAATTAATGATAAGTGCGGGACACCCGCTACAACCCACGCGATGCACCATACATGGGTAAATTACTTCAAGAATGTAATTTAATTACAATTACTTTGCTTCAAAAGTAGTTTAACTACAATTATTATGTGGAAAGTAATTAATTACAATTACAAATTACTTTTAAAAAGTAATGAAATTACTTTACAATTACTTATTTCTGAGAGCGACCCAACTTGGGTCATATGGCGTTAAACGAGTTGTATAGAATGCAATGTATTTGTTCATACCTTACTCCAATGTTCACATATTTTACTTTCTTTTTATGAATTTTGTTAAATTCATGATGGAACTTGACAGTGTGGGGAAATGAGGTACTACGTTCTTATATTTTTAATAAATATAATAAATTAGTTGATATGCTCAAGATGCCAATCGCTAAAGTACAAATTGGTTTGACAGACTTTAGTTAGCCAGGCAAATAAAAATGTGACAATTAGTCATATAGGAATATTTTACAAGTGTTAATATAAAAGTAAAATCCACACGCATTAAAACGACCACATTCACATAACGGTATTGTAAATTATTTACATTGAGTTGAACTCATAATTGTTCAGAAATATAGAAGTACGGAATCGGGGCCCCCCAATCATTGATGACCATATTCACAGGTGCGAGGTCAGTCTCCGAAGTGATCATGCAAATAATACCCGAAGTAAAAGCTATATGAAATAAACTTGAAAATAATACAAAGATACCAGGCACGTAGCCAGGGGGGCGGCCCATGGGGCCCGGTCCCCCCCCTCCCCTCCCCCCCCCCGAAATCTTCCATTTTGCTGGGGCCTCCTCTCCCCCTCCCCCTCATACAGCATTTTGTCATGGACGATCTCCCCTCCCTCCCTCCCTCCCCCTCCCCCTCCCCCCCCGAAACAAAATCCTGGCTACGTGCCTGAAAGATACACATCTGTGACAGTACTGGAAGAGGGACGTAAAAAAAAAACTGGCAAAAAAGAAAGAAAAATAACTTCAGAGACAATTAAATTTTCCAACCTCGGCTGAAAGGTGAAGCTCAATTTTTTTTTTTTTTTTTTTTTTTTTTTTTAATATTTTGGCATGTTTACGCTAATGTCTTCTGCTCGCACCGCAGACGGCGCTACACGGCGCCGTCGAGGTAGGCTCCAAAGAGGATTGTCTCTCACCCCACAGTGTAAGCAACAAAACAACAAACAATGCGAAGCTATTTATGCTGTGTGTGTGTGTGAGTTTGTGTCTGTGTGCGAGTGTTTCACCGAGAGCTAGGCCGCTTGCGTGAGCGCTGAGGCTTTCAAAGAGGTTCAGTCGGCACCGCAGTCTTGCGAAAGTAATTAAATTACAATTACAATTCCTTCTAGCTGAAAGTAATTATTAATATTACAAATTACGAAGAAAATTAAATTACAGTAATTCAATTACTGTAATTGAATTACTACCCAAGTATGGCAAGAACTGATACCACAGATCCCGGACACGGCAAATTTGCGTTTCACGATGCAATAAACACGCGGGAATTCGCTACAAACTCCTGTGTCACGGGAAAGGATACCGCAAGTGGCCGATGCAGCAGATTCGCGTTTCACGGTGCGAAGGACTCGCGCAAACCCGCCGAGAACTCGCATCTCACGGGAACGGATACCGCAGATCGCGGACGCGGCAGATTCGCATTTCATGATGCAATATACACGCGGGAACAACTATAGACCTTTCCAGCGGCAGTCTCGAACGAAGCGATTTACAGCGCGCGTCCCTGGTTTTGAGAGTGTACGTCAGTGTTGCCCGACTGCGCTGAGCTGTGGAGATTTTCGTCAGTGGGCTGTAGCAGCCTGCGTAGGCGCAATTCCGGACGGTAGTGGCGGCTGAATTGCCGCGTTTTATTTTTTATTTTGTGTTCTGTGGCGAACATAATTTATAGAGGTCTTTAAGAAAGCAGTGTTCTATTTTTGGGAACATACACAAAGAAATGAGAGCTGTTTTGGTGAGTCCGTGCGCGACAGAACAAATGCAACTGGAATGTTTGTTTCATTTTATGTTCATCGTTTTACGGCACCGTACAATCAGCCGTGTCAATCTATAAAGGTCAAAATATTTGACCACACAGGATATCCGAACTGCATGGATATTCCCCGTCCACAATATGAAATTCAACGAGTCTCATCAATAGAACAGCATATATTGTACGTACCCCACGGTGCCACGTTATCCAAACAGGATTTGAGAAAGGTCTCAAATAGCACAGCATGTCCAATATAGAGTGTCGACGACAGTCACTTCACGACGATCGGACGGAATCCGGCGTGTTTTGGGGAACATGTAGAAGATAGAGAGCTCCTTCTTTTCACAGCTTCAAAGCAAATGAACGAACGTGTCGATTCCGTCCCCACACCCCGGACCCGACCCTGTCAGTTATTTTTCGCGAAGACCTGGAACACAGCCGGGAAGGCTTTTTGGAGATTATCTCAACGGAAATAATCCTCCAAGAACGTCGAACTGCCTGCGTCGCGGGCTGCTTGACGTTCGCTCTCTTCGTTCATTTCCTGCGAAGGCCGAGCAGGCTACGAGCCCTGGTATTCCCCGGTTCTCACAGTGGAAGATAACATACAAAGGGTAAGCATCCTAAACAGGCGAATAAAGTAAAAACTTCAAAGAAAAGCCGGCGAACTCCGAACTCCGAATGCAGGTGTGGAGTCACGCTGACCGGGTTTCCACAGCTCAGGCGGGTGCCAGAAATTTCTGGCTGATAGGGGTCGCTCGATTCGCAAAATGGCGACGGCCAGAGCGCTCTTTTTGCAAAGGTCTTAGCGTGTTACGCGAGCCGATATCGCGCGTAGATCGCAGACAAAAACGCGGGAACCCGCTACGAACTCGCTCCTCGGACACACCGGTACCACCGATTGCTTCGCTGATGCGCGATTCCCGTCAACAACGCTCGACGTCCAACGGGATTCGGGGGCTCGGCGATGTTTCGGAATTTTTTCGTTACAGATATTTTGCCAGAAAAACGGGATGGGCGATATCTCGGGGGAGGGCGCCCTTACGGCATTTTACGGTACATTTTCCGCCCAAGCGTAGCGCGACCGTTGCTACCGTTCCGAACCAAATGCCAAAATTTCAGCCTAACCGTTGCATTACTCGACAGTTATAACAGATTTTCAGAAATTTCCATGAAGGGGAAAATGGGGGCCAACAGAGCTCTC